CTTATTTTTATCCACTCAATTCAGTATGTCCTGGTCAATTTCCATGTGAGTAAACATATATCAAGAGCATTGTCTCAATGGCAACAAGGGATTCCATTTTAAGGATATAAGAATTTATATAACCAGTCTCCCATTGTTGAGCATTTAGGTTGTTTACAATTTTCAGGACTCCAAACATTGCCATGATAAACATCTACACTGTACATTGTTGCATGTTTGTCTTAGAATAAGCTAATAACAGATTTGTGAGTCCTCTGCCAGGTACCACTGGCTTACACCTGTAATTCTGGCTGCTCAGGAGACTGAAATCTGAGAATGATAGTTTCAAAGCCACCCTGGCCAGGAAAGTCTGTGACATTTTTTTTTTGTTTAGTTTTATTTTATTTGTGAACATACTGTACAGAGGAGTTACAATTACATGGGCAGGATAATGCGTACATTTCTTACCAAGCATTGCAGCCTCCTCCTTTGTTTACCCTTCACATCCCTTCCCAGCCTCCCCCCTCCCCCCCAATCCCAATCCTTCTCCTTCTCCCCCCTCCCCCCCCTCCCCCGCACCGACGTTGTAAAGCTCGTTTTGGACATGACAACTTGTACTTCTCATTGTTGCAACAGGTCCACCTGTATCCTTAAACAACTGGTTTTTCCCCATCTCCTCCACAAGTTATACGACATCAAATATAGTGAAAGCAGGGGTTATACTGTGGGGGAGGGACATACAAAGCAACAAAGAGATAATCTTATAAATGCGTTAGAAACACATGCATGAAAGAAAAAAACATTAAAATACATATCTAACGGTTCATTTTCCTGACATCACATTATCTGACCTTTTCCGCTTGACTCATACATATACTAGATATTACAAATAAGGGAAACCATGGGACCTATGTTTCTTTGGGCCTGGCTTACTTCACTTAATATAATTTTTTCCAAGTTTTTCCATTTCCTAACAAATGGGGCAATGTCATTCTTTCTGATGGAGGCATAGAATTCCATTGTGTATATATACCACATTTTCTTGATCCATTCATCTACTGAGGGGCATCTGGGTTGGTTCCATATCTTAGCTATGGTAAATAATGCTGCAATAAACATAGTTGTGCTGGTAGCTTTAGTGTGGTCTTGTTTGTAAACATTTGGGTAAATGCCCAAAAGTGGGATTGCTGGGTCATAGGGGAGTTCTATGTGAAGTCTTTTGAGGAACCTCCATACTGCTTTCCAAAGTGGTTGAACAAGTTTACATTCCCACCAACAATGAAGTAAGGTTCCTTAGTCTGTGACATTTTTATCTCCAATTAACCACCCAAAAAGCCAGAAGTGGAGCTGTGGCTCATGTGGTAGGGTGCTAGCCTTGAGCAATAAAGCTCAGGGGCAGCACCTAGGCCCTGAGACAAGCCCCATAACTGGGAGAAAAAAGGCAGGATCTTATTTTATTCTTGAGCCACCTGGACTGCAATCCTCTTATTTGTGTTTCCTGTTTTGGCACTACGGTGACAAGCACTTACCGCTGTAACTGTCATTTCGCTTCCCCTACAGTTGGAAAGGACAAGTGCCACCACTATGCCTGGACGTTGGTTGAACTAGAGACTCATTTCTGTCCATGCCTGTACTCGTCTCTAATCATGGTCCCTCGGTCTCTAGCTGGGATTGAGCTACTATGCCCAGCCTAAATTCTGAAAAAAAAAATTACTTTTTTCAGTTCTCTAGGGAGGGTGATCACCTGTTCCACTGAAGTGACTATATTTGCTCAGGGTTACATTGTTGCTCTTAGCTTTAAATAATAATAATAATATGGTAAGTATATAAAATGTAAATGCTATAAACCTAGGTAGTTTCTTGATCACTTTCCTTTCATTTTCCACACAATAAATCACATATACATAAAGAAAAGTGAATTTTCATTTTTACTTTTTGTGTATATGTGTGTGCCAGTCCTGGGCACAATAGAACCTGGGTTCTCTCCCTGATCTTCTGTGTGCAAGGCTAGCACCCTACCACATGAGCCACAGCTCCACTTTCAGCTTTTTGGTGATTAATTGGAGCTAAGAATCTCATGGACTTTTCTGCTTGGGCAGGCTTTGAGCCACGATCCTTAGATCTCAGTCTCCTGAGTAGCTAGGATTACAGGCATGAGTCACTATTTCCTGGCTCATTATTACTTTTAAGGTGCTTTGAAAGGCGTTTGCAGTGCTGTACAGCTAGGAAGTACTGTATACTCATTGTTGCTGGTATAGATCTGGATCTACTCATGTGTGTACTCATGTGTTCATCTTACCTTTTCAAAGACATTTCCCAAGGAAACTGCTGTCTGTTTGAATACACTTCTTGGAAGAGTGGATGACAAGCCAACCATTCCATCCATGGATAATTACCTGTGCACTTCTGTGTGACATTGCAGGTTTGATATAGCTGGGTATAGTATGCCTGAAGGATGAGCCAGGCAATCAGAACTCAACCTTTGAATGTCCATTGCCCTTTGATTCCAAATGGCCAGCAATGGACGTGGTGGGTGAAAGGGTGGCACAGATTCCTATGTGCATCCTTCCAAAGACTAGGAAAGCAAAAGAGCTACTCCAAAGCAAAGTTTCTTTTCTCACTCAGTCATCAACCTTTACTATCTACAGTCTACCAAACAGCTTCTACCTGTGCCTTGCCTTCATCAGAATCCCTCCCTTCCTGCTTTATGAAGGCTTCATGTCCTCCTCCCTTCCCACAACTTGCAGACACATAGATCTCTGTGCTACCAAAAACTGTTTGGATTGTTCCTTCATCAAGATTCAAGATTCCGTTGCTTATTTTTTATCATAAAATAAGTAAAACCCAAGATGGTTGTATCATGAGATTGTTATCATATCATCATTATAACATTGTTCTTATGTTACTCTAAACTTGTAAACATTTTAGTGTCTGGGACTTATTTTACTATATGCCTCAATTTTTTTTAATTTTTATTTTTTGTGCCCATTGTGGGGTCTGGACTCAGGGCCTAGACACTGTCCCTAAGGGTTTTTGGGTTTTTTTGTTTGTTTGTTTTTGTGAATGGTGGGGCTTGAACTCTGGGTCTGGGCCCTGTCTCTCAGCTCTTCAGCTCAAGGTGAGCTTTCTACTACTTGAACCACACCACTTCTGGTTTTCTGGTGGTTTATTGGAGATAAGAGTCTCACGGACTTTCCTGCTTCGGCTGGCTTTGAACCGGGATCCTCGGATCTCAGCCTCCTGAGTAGTGAGGATTACAGGCGAGAGCCACCAGCACCAGCTTTTTTTTTTTTTTAGTACATTCTTATTTCTTTTTTTATCCTTTTATTGTAAAGGTAATGTACAACTCATGTAACTGTAACCTCTTTTACAATATCTTTACAATAAAAATATATATTAAAGAAAAGGTGATATGGGGGGTTACAGTTACATAAGTAAGGTAATGAGTTCATTTCTTTTTGAACAGTGTTACCTCCTCCCTCATTTTCTCTCATTCTTCCTTCCCTCCCTTCCAAGTTGTAAAGTTCATTTCCAAATTAGTGTCTAGTGAGTATCACTTTGTCCCTCGGTTTCTGTGATTCCCCTTCCAAATCAAATAAACTTATATAAGACAAAGGGTACAGAAATCAAGCACAGTAACAACAAGGAATAGATAAACTAAAGGGGAGAGAGAGACAGAGAGGAAGGAAGGAAGGAAGGAAAAGAAAGAGAGAGAGAGAAACCGAGCAGTGCTCGTTTCGGCAGCACATATATGAAAATTGGAAGGATACAGAGAAGATCGGCATGGCCCCTGTGCAAGGAAGACACGCAAATTGGTGAAACATTCCATATTTTTAAATAAACCCATCACATTTGGAACATAAAAAAAAAAAAAAGAAAGAAACCGAGCAAACTGCAAATGGTACACTAGAAAAACCTCTTGTTTCCGTTTCTTGGAGTTTATTCACCCAGTTGTTGAGTGTTTAAAATCATTCCTTTTATTTTCTCTATGACAAATAATGCTAAGTTCTTCCAACTTGAATTTGAATTTGTTCCCTTGGGGTAGAATTGCTAAGCCATTGTTGATGAGTATTTATTTGTAAGACCATCAGTGGAAACTGCCACCAGCTCTTCAGAGTGTTTATAGCAACTTAGGCTCACAGAAGGGGGGGGCGGGGTTGCCAGTGGCTCATGCCTGTAATCCTAGCTATTCAGGAGGCTGCGATCTGAGGATTGCAGTTCAAAGCCAGCCATGGCAGGAAACTCCATGAGACTCTTATCTCCAATAAACTACCAGAACACCAGAAGTGGCACTGTAGCTCAAGTGGTAGAGCACTAGCCTTGAGCTGAAGAGCTGAAGGACTCAGGCCCAGAGTTCAAGCCCTATGACCAAAAAAAAAAAAAAAGAAGAAGAAGAAGAAGAAGAAGGTGGGAATGTATTTAGTGTTCTATCATGGAGCCTGTCCTTTTCACTAAATGATAAAAACTTTTAAAAATCACTGATTTTTTGGCTTAATTTTAACTTTTCTTACTCTTGGTGAGATTGGATATTTTCCATGTGCTTATTTGACATGTGAAGTTTCTTTCATGAGACATCTCTTTATGTCCCTTTATATTGGAGTTTGATGTTTTTCTTATTCACTTGTATGAGCTTATTACATGCATATTAAGGATGTTAACATTGTCTTTAATGTGTATTGACCACAATTAGGCTAGAATTCTTTTCACTCTATTGTTTGCAATTATATCTTGTCTTAATGAGGTCAGTTTCTATCATTTTACATAGAAAGTCATTTTCGGTGTTTAAATATTAATAATACATACTTCAGAGCTAAGTACAGAAAACATATATTCGAGGCCTTGGTCTTTCCAGTTAGTGTTTCTGTTTTGATAGCCTTGTATACACAATGCATTTCATGTCATGGTCCTTCCGGTGTGCTCATTACAAAATTCTGAGGTCTGCATCCATGCCATGCCCTTGAGATAGGAATAAGTTGCTTTGGCATTCACTGAGGTTCTAGATAAAATTCAAGCTGTCCCGTATTCCCCTGCTTTAGGTTCTCATAACTCCAGACATCCTGAATGGTTCTCTTTTTCCTTGTAGACAATTCCTCCTCCCTCCAGGAAGATGAAGAAGTAGAGGTGGAAACCATTAGCTGGCAGGCCAGCAGGCCAGCCATGAACGGGCACCCTGCCCCTCCAGTGACTTCTGCACGCTTCCCCAGCTGGGTCACTTTCGATGACAATGAAGTCCACTGCACTTTGCCACCCATCACCTCCCCTTTGAAGCCAAGTGCACCACCACCTTCTGCACCTGTGACCTCAGACATACCTTATAACTCAACCCGGTCATTTAAGAGGGACCGTCCCAAGAGTACGTTGATGAACTTCTCCAAAGCTCAGAAGCTAGACATTTCCTCCTTGAACCGCCCACCTTCCATAACTGAGGCACCGCCGTGGAGGGCAACCAATCCCTTCCTGAATGAGACTCTACAGGATGTGGAGCCCTCCCCTATCAACCCATTCAGTGCTTTCTTTGAGGAACAGGAGCGGCGTTCCCAAAACAGTTCCATTTCCAGTACCACTGGCAAAAGCCAAAGAGATTCTCTCATTGTTGTCTACCAGGATGCCATCAGTTTTGACGATTCTAACAAAACTCAGTCCCACTCTGATGCTGTGGAAAAACTCAAACAACTCCAAATTGATGACCCTGATCACTTGGGCAGCACAACACTACCTGACGATGACCCAGCAGCCTGGGTTCAACTGGATGCTCACCTGCCTGGGTCAGCTGTGTCCCAGCCCAGGGATGGGTGGTCAATGATGCTGAGGATCCCTGAGAAGAAAAACATCATGTCCTCCAGGCACTGGGGACCAATCTACATCAAACTGACTGACAGTGGTTTCCTGCAGCTATATTATGAACAGGGCCTAGAAAAACCATTCCGTGAATTCAAGCTGGAGATCTGCCATGATGTTTCAGAACCCCGGCTTCAAAACTACGACGAGAATGGGAGGATCCACAGTTTGCGGATAGATCGTGTCACTTACAAGGAGAAGAAGAAATACCAGCCCAAACCCGCTGTGACCCATACCGCAGAGCGGGAGCAAGTGATTAAGCTGGGCACCACCAATTACGACGACTTCCTGAGCTTCATCCGCGCAGTTCAGGACCGTCTCATGGATCTGCCTGTCTTGTCAATGGACTTGAGCACTGTTGGCTTGAACTACCTGGAAGAAGAGATTACGGTGGATGTCAGAGATGAATTCACCGGTATTGTGAGCAAAGGCGAAAACCAGATCCTCCAGCACCATGTCTTGACTCGGATCCATATCCTGAGTTTTCTCTCTGGGTTGGCAGAGTGTCGCTTGGGCCTCAATGATATCCTCATCAAAGGCAATGAGATTGTTTCTCGACAGGACATCATGCCCACCACCACCAGCAAGTGGATCAAGCTCCATGAGTGCCGCTTCCATGGGTGTGTGGACGAGGAGGTCTTCAACAGCTCTCGTGTTATTCTGTTCAACCCTTTGGATGCATGCCGGTTTGAACTAATGCGGTTCAGGACCGTGTTTGCTGAAAAGACTTTGCCCTTCACCCTCAGGACGGCAGCCAGCATCAACGGGGCAGAGGTGGAGGTGCAGAGCTGGCTGAGGATGTCAACCGGCTTCTCCTCTAACCGCGACCCCCTCACTCAGGTTCCCTGTGAGAATGTAATGGTTCGTTACCCAGTGCCTAGTGAGTGGGTGAAAAACTTCCGAAGGGAAAGTGTCCTGGGGGAAAAGTCTTTGAAAGCCAAAGTGAACCGGGGAGCAAGTTTTGGCTCAACTAGTATCTCAGGCTCCGAGCCTGTCATGAGAGTAACTCTGGGAACTGCCAAATATGAGCATGCCTTCAACTCCATTGTGTGGAGGATAAACCGGCTGCCCGACAAAAACTCAGGTGGGTAGTTTCTCCTGTGGAGAACAGTCACGTGTTTGCTGAGGAGCTGGGATTCACTTTCCACATCCTATCTCTGTATGAAGAGTTTTTTCTCACAGTGTGGCAGGGAAGGTGATGGAGGAGGAGAGAGGTGGAAAAGTACAAGTATTTATTTGCATGAAGTAATAAGTGTAGTGACCCAATTCATGACATCTTTTCACCCCTTATTATCATACATAGTGCATAACGAGCTGTATTGTTCTGCTCAGCTGAGCTGCAAGCTTCTTCTCAATTTGTGTTCCTTTGGGGCTCATTGGAGCATTAGCTACAGGGCAGGAAGCAATCCATTCTCAGATCCTGGAAGATGTGTGGGTTCTAAAGAGATCTTTCTGACAATGCCCTGGATAAAAGAGAAAGGACTGGCTTATGTGCAATCTTACATGCATGTGAGAGTTCTGAGTCCAGTTACTCAAACTCAGAGCTTGGCTCGGGACTCAGAGATGGAAAAGAGACTAAAGATCTGGCAGAATATGAGATCCAAGAGGGCCATCATGCTACCAGACAAAAAGCAAAGGAAGGAATGTTTGATGGAAACAATTGCCAATCATTTGCTCCTAGCCCTAAGGGATGCTGCTGCGCTTGAGTGATCCCACCACAATTACTTTCCTCCAGCAACAGTCAAGGAAAGGACAGGCCGAGGCAGCAGGCAAAGCAGCTCTAATCACTTCATGTTCTTCGAGTATGGCTAACTGTGGCAGGCAACAAGCCCATGAGCCTCAGAACCACAAACCACTTCTCCTCTTGTGTATAATAAATTATGTCCATGTCTTCACCAAAGCAGATTTGCTAGTTAGGGAGAGAGAATAAGGCTTGGGGGGGGGGGGAAATCCTGATTGAAATATGGAGCCATGCCTTTTTCCATTCTCACCATTAAATCCTTACCGTGTGTTCAGAGTATTCATCTGCTGCTTCAATTGTGGAGTGTCTGTTACCGTATCCTGGTATCCAGGATGGATTGGATGTGACAGCAGCAGGCAGTACAGTCTGCTCGACGCCCCAGGCTGTCCCGGGGAGTGGGCACACACCAGGCACTGTGTCAGACACTGGGTGTAGCAGGGCACACTGAAGAGACAATTGGACCTCTGTGTCTGCTGCTGTCTATTTCTAAACTGACAGAATTGTACAAACCAAGGCTTCCTCTCTGTGCTTGCTTATTCATTGCCCCCTGAAATCAGCTCTGTACTATTCTCTTGGTGATTGCGCTGTAATTTCTGTCTCAGCCATAGACCCCATCCAGCTTGACAGAGGAAAAGAGAACCCCTGATTCTCTTTTGGTGTGCAAGCCTTTGTGAGGACAGAGCCGTGGAATTGCTGTATTTTCAAGCTGGAAAGGGTCCTTAGTCAAACCTCTCCATGCTACAAATGAAAATTAAGGCCAAGAAAGCAACATTACTCTTCTAAAGCCACACAGCCATACCCCAATTCCTCTTCATAGAGAAGGCTGATAGACACACACTTGAAGTAATCTCTAATGGCCAGGCATGGTAGTGTACATCTGTAATCCCAGCTACTCAAGAGGAAAATCAGGAGGAATCTGACTTTGAGGTCAGGCCAAACAAAAATGGTAGACCTTATCTTAAAAGTATGAGAACTGTTGGGCACCGGTGACTCATGCCCTCAATCCTAGCTTCTCAGGAGTCTGGCCAGACTGGGCAGGAAAGTCTATAAGACTTTTATCTCCAATTAAAAGTAAAAAAAGTCAGAAGTGGAGCCATGGCTCAAGTAGTAGAGCACTAGCCTCAGGCACAAAACTCAAGGACAGTGCCCAGGCCCTGAGTTCAAGCTTCAGGAGGCTCAAAAATAAAATGCGTGAGGGGCTGGGAAGGGGGCTCAGTGGTAGAGAGTTTGCCTTGCATGCCTGAGGCCCTGGGTTCAATTCCTCAGCACCACAGAAGCAAAAAGAAAAAAGCCGGAAGTGGTGCTGTGGCTCAAGTGCTAGAGCGCTAGCCTTGAGCTAAAGAGCTGAGGGACAGCGCCCAGGCCCAGAGTTCAGGCCCCAAGACCGGACCCAAAAAATAAAATAAAAAATAAAATAAAATGCATGAGAACCATAGTTTGCCATTTTCTCAGTGCATATAAACACATTTCAAAGTGGTTCCAAATGTTCAAAAGTACCATAGGAGTAGTTTCTTGGATATAAGCACTAAGGAATGGCCTTAGGAAAAGCTAATGACTATGATTTCAGGCAGTATGGGACAGCAAGACAACATCCCTAGTTTTCCTGATATCCTAAGCCTACCTCCACACTGGGCCTGGCCCAGCATCTACCACCAGTAGACCAAGTAGCTTGCATGGAATTCTAACGTGCTCCACCAGTACAGCTCAGCCCAGCTGACCTCAAGCATAGCAGGTTTCAAGGACCTACACCAGCCAAATCTCACAAGTATTTCTTAATCATGTGTAAGGTTCTAGACAAATCTTATTATTTCCACATGGAAAAAATAAGGCACTCTTAATTGATAGCTATTTCCAACAAATAAAGCTGTCTTTTAGACTATATGAAGTTCAAAACAAGCCAAATATGATGAGATTAATCTTTTCTCGAAAAAATTATGGGTTTTTTTTTTGTCTTCTGTGTGTGTGCGTGCACGTGTGCGCACGCGAGCACATGTGTGCTACTGTGGAGTGAACTTGGCCTCACATTTGCTAGGCAGGCACTCTTCTATTTGAGCTGCACTCACAGCAAATAAGGTCTTGCTTGTTTTGCCTGGGACAACCTTCAACCACAATCCTCCTACCTCTGCCTCCTGGAATAGCCTGGCCCCAACATCTGAATATTAATGTTAAATTCAATCTAGAAAGATTATATGATATGTGAGCTTTTGCTAATGATCATAAATTAAGTAGTAGCAGCTTCTATAACTATTCAGCCAGCCTTGAACAACAAATTGGTGCTAACAGCAATATAGGGTACAGTGCTGCATTCACATGCTTTGGTGGAATGCTGTGCACATGCTTTGGTAGAAAGAAAAGAGTCACTTTTGTAAAAGAAATAATTTCTGAATGTTCCCACAATGTACAAAGAAAGGTAATTAAATAAAAACATGAAAACATTTGTTCAAGCTACTATTAAGATATTATATATAGGTTATATATTCTATATATTATATGTAACATTGATCTAATCTGTAGCAATATATTTGAAAATTTTAGAACCAAATTTGGAGTCAGATCTGAAATATATTCCCACCTCTACTGTTTATTGGTGATATGAACTCAGGCAATTGATTTAACACTCTCAGAGAAACCTAATTTTTCTCATCTCTAAAATAGGGTTATTAATACCTAGCTTATTCATAAGGAAACTATATAATGCTGTTAAGTATCTGGCCTGTAATAAATGTCTAGTAAATCTTAGTGATGTAATTTTATCCATAGTACTGAAAAAAGATATAGCAAATGGATTCATTTTTACCTCTTTGTATTTTATTTAAATTTCTTAAAAATCAGTACAAACATTTCAATTATCTAAAGTCTTAGTCTTTGGAAATAACCATTGAATTATATTAGATTTATGAATCAGAGCAAAACAAATACTTCACTCTGTAATGTTTTCCTTAGAGAGCGGGTGTGTGTCTTTTTACTCTCTGTTTAAAACATCCTGCCCAAACCAATAGAGAAAATTGGAATTGTTTACCTAGGGGAAATGCATACCTAAAAGGCTATGTCAGTTACATAATGAAGCTGAACACATTTCATTGTGTTTACCCATAGCCAGTTCATACAGCCTACTCCATCTCTATCCCATTCAAATCTAGACTTAGATTTTGGAGACCATAAGGTTATGACTTAGACAAGGTGGTTAAAAATACTCTAGTCAGTGTGGTTAAGAACTGACTACTGGATTCAGTTCTTAGTCTCCTACTTCCTAGCTGTGACCTGGGGCAGCTCACTTGCCTCCAAAAGCTTTATCTGTAAAGTGAGCATCACGTTAAGACATCAAGAGATCATTAGGAAGATCCAGTGAAAGAATCGAATCTGTTTGAAGCGTTTAGCATGACACCTGGCACAAGAGGCTCAATGAATGTTTCTTATTACGTCTGGTGAATGACAATGAGGCAGCCATGGTTCTAATCATAGCACTGAGCTCGTGCCTCAAAAATTTGATAATCCCAAATGAGAATAAAATGCTACATTTTCTATCCATCTTCAGTAAAACTATGCATAGACTTACAGCATTAAAAGGTCATCAAGGGACTTTGCCTGGCATTGAGCTGCTGCTTCTCTGTGTGCATGTGCACACCCGTACTTGGGCTTGAACTCAGGGCGTGGGCACTTAGCTTTTTCACTTACTCTATCACTTGAGCCATAGTTTCATTTCTGGATTTCTTTTTTTTGGCTCATTAATTGGAGATAAGAGTTTGATGGACTTCATGGATTTTCCTGCCCCAGGCTGGCTTTGAACCATAATCCTCAGATCTCAGCCTTGTGAGTAGCTACTGGCATGAGCCACTGGCACCCAGCTAAGCCAACTTTTCTCTCTCTCTCTCTCTCCTTCCTTCCCTCCTTTCCTTTCTTTTGTGCTGGTACTGGGACTTGAATTCAGTCCTCGGTATTGTCCTTATTTTTTTCACTCAAGGCTAGCACTCCGCAACTTGAGCCGTAGCTCCATTTTCAGTTGTGTGTGTGTGTGTGTGTGAGAGAGAGAGAGAGAGAGAGAGAGAAAGAAATGGCGGGAGAGAGATTAATTAGAAATAAGTCTCACAGACTCCTGCCTGCCTACACTGGCTTCAAACCACAGTTCTCCAATCCCAGCATCTTGAGTAGCTAGGATTCTAGGTGTGAGTCACAGGAACCCAGATTGAACCCATTTTTCATACCTTTCCCATTTTACAGGTGAAGAATTGAGGCCAGTCTGTAGGAGAGCTGGAAGTCAAGCCCGGGAGTTCTGAGTGCAGACGAGTGTCCAGTTTAGTGTGCCTAATACGAGTGTGCTGTCTCACAAGGAGTGTCACTGTCATGTATCATTCATGCACAAAAACACACCAAAAGCTTTTCTGAGTGCATGGAATGCTATTAAGAAAGTTCAATTTGTCTTGCTGCAGATGGCTGTAGCTGAGGTTTTATTAAATGCTGGTGCTGATTCTGTTTCTTCTGTTCCACAGCCCCTTGCTTAGTAATCTGTGCTGTGTCCTCATATCACTCTGACCTGAGCAGGCAGAACAGCCCCTGTTTCTCAGGCTGTGGGTTTTATTGCTAGGATACCAGGCTGCAATAATGAGATGGTGTTATATCAAATAGCCTGAGGCACACAGAGTATGATTTTTACTGAAGCAAATTCTCCCTCAGATTTGGGCCTTCTGAAAGACTTCCAGGTGCCAAGCTTGCCAGGCCCCCTTTGTTATTGAGATGGATCTTTCGGCCTTAAAAAAAAAAAAGAGACTAAAACCCCCATCCTCAAAGAACTCGATCTCTGACTGCTTTCTTTCACAGCATCTGGACACCCACACTGCTTCTTTTGCCACCTGGAACTTGGCTCTGACCGGGAAGTGCCTTCCAAGTTTGCCAGTCATGTGAATGTGGAATTCAGCATGCCCACAACTTCTGCCTCCAAAGCTGCTGTTCGATCCATCTCCGTGGAAGACAAGACTGATGTCCGGAAGTGGGTCAATTATTCTGCACACTACAGCTATAAGGTAGCCTTGCGGGGCTCTCTCTGGTTTCCAAGTCCATTTGTTGACCCATCCCCCTCTCCACCCTTACTCCTTTTAAGCTGTGCTTACCCAGGGTAAAAAACATTCATTGACCAGACCACCCTAGAGGAAGTTCACATGTATAGCTGTGGAAATATCTGATTTTAATGTATAATCTGTATTGTGAGAAAGGCTGGAAAAAAAAAAAGGAGAGATAATATGTCTGTCAATGTGAATAACAACAAAAAGAACTGTGGGTGAAGCAATTGTTATTACTCATTTGTAATCAATTTATGTTGCAAAATGAAGGGAGAGTATCTTTGTAATACCATTTATGTTGCAAAATGAAGGGGAAGTATCAGGAAGTGCTGACTTTTGAGTCACATATTTCATCCACAAGAGGTGATGATGATAGATCGGAACATAGTTAGGACACACATAACCTCTGTCCTGGGCCATAGCAGTACAAAAACTCAAAAGCTGGGGTTGGGAATATGACTTAGTGGTAGAGTGCTTGTCTGGTATGCATGAAGCCCTGGATTTGTTCCTCAGTACCACATATCCAGAAAAAGCCAGAAGTGTTACTGTGGCTAAAGTGGTAGAGTTCTAGCCTTGAGCAAAAGAAGCTCAAGGACAGTGTTCAGGCCCTGAGTTCAAGCTCCAGGACTTGAACAAAAACAAAACTCAAAAGCCAAGCAAACTTCTGCAATAATAATAATAATAGGATCAGAAATGTGTGAGAAGTAGTCAAAGCTGGAGCTCAAGGGAGTTGGAGGAGGGCATTTATTTTATTTTGTTTTGTTTTGTTTTGGTCTGAGACAGGGTCTATGTAGTTGGGAGTTTTTCCTTGCTATATACAGAAAACTATGTCTTAAAGAATTAGAGATTTGATAGCTTAAATGTCAGATCTTAAGAAGTATTTTGCAAGGTGATTCAATAATTTCCTATTCAAAATAATACCTTTAGATTTATACAACAGGTTATTGTTCCTCTAAATGTTTTCTTAGTTGTGTGGCCTGAAACATTTAATGACCAGAAAAGAACAAATTCTCCACCTTGTGGCCAGAAAAAAATATAGCACTTCCCCTCAAACATGACCCTGTTCAGTCAGCACAAACAGCCAAGCAAGTGCTGAAGAACAACCTTAATTAGGAGATTCCTGAGCTCAAAGAATTCCCTTATCAATTCCCTTATCAAGCAAACAATTGCTTGAGTTTGAAGTGTGGTACTTTCAAGGTGAGATTGGTTTGTCTTTTTGTAATAACAGCAAAAATATTGGCATTTACTCCACTATTGGTCAGTTTGGAGGCTGTTAAAGGAGGAAGTATTGGGAGGGGTTTAAATCAGATACACGGGAGTTTTTTCGTTGGGTAACATTTTTTCAATTGTTTACTCCATTCTATACTGTTGGATAGTGTAGCCAATGAGGTCTTCCTGTCTTACAGAGCCGGTGGAATAGTGGAGCCAGGTACATTTCCAAATGTTCTAGATACAGTTCACTGGGAGGCACTTGGTCTACTTAATGAATCGAGAACAAAAGTGACCTTTGAGCAACTGTACAAGACAGAGAATAAGAATCTTCCAGATACAATATTGGAAAGAGGTCATTCCAGACCATGCAAAGAACGTGTGCAAAGAAAGTTATAACTGCCGGTGCTGGTGGCTTACACCTGTAATCCTACCTACTGAAGAGGCTGCAGCCTGAGGACTGAAGTTCTAAGCCAGCCAAAGCAGGAGAGTCTGTGAGATGTCATTTCCACCTAAGCACCATAAATCCAAAAGAAGAGCTGTACCTCAAGTGGTAGAGCGCCATCCTTGACAAAAGCTAAGGGGCAGTGCCCAGGCCCTGAGTTCTAGTATGGCAGATAGAGTAGGGAAAAGAGGGGAAAAGGGAAAGGAGAGAGGAAAGATAAAGAATTGAAGGCCAGTAATTCCAGTGTGTTAAAGCCCAAAACCTTAGCAAAAGCACAAGGAATCTCAAAGAACCTTCTGAGGTTCTTTTGGCTTGTTTGAATGTCTTTTCTTCCATTTGTTTGCATTACATTTTCTGTAACTTTTCTTTGGGCAGGTGGAAATTGAACAAAAAAAGAGTTTGAAGCCAGACTGTGATGAAGATAAAATGGCCAATCCCAAGGAGTGTGGGGTACAGTGATAAAGACTTACATCAACTAATCCTAACCCAAGAGTCACGACAGGATGCCTTCCTGAATAGCTGAAGTTGAAGTCAACACGTGCTGTGTCAACTCCATGTGGGAACAGTCTATGAGAGCTTCCTGTTCACAGTTACCTGTATATCAACAGGAGAACCCCTGAGGTGGTTGCTTGCTGGAAGCTAGTTGACCCTGATCATGCCTGAAGCACGTGGAGCACCTGACTTTTGAAGCTTATTATGTAATTAAGCTTCTTTGTCTGTTTCTGCTTGTATTGCAGCACTGGTATGTGGTTTGTGAAGACAGAGTTTGGAAAGGAACCTCCAACGTCAGTGTTGGTACTGGTTCTGAAAATCATTTATCCCTCAAGAGTGTCTGGAGAAAAGTAGTCCTGAGAAATCAATCCCAAAACCATCTCTGTCACTCTTTATATAAGAGGCTCTGAAAAGGTTCAAAGCAAATTTCCTCTTTGGGTCTAGTAGACCTTGTGTAGAGTCTTTGATCATTAAATGTTAACACTATGCAAGAGGAGTTTTTCAGGTGTTCTCTCCTTGTTCTAGATTGTTTTGAACTCAAGGGTTTTTGTTGTTGTTGTTGTTATGTTGTGTTTTGTTGTTTATTATTTTCCTATTTCTCAAAGGTTTCAGTCACAGGATTTGCTATCCTACGTCACAATAGACAATGGGAAGAAATAGGATTTTTTAAAAAATTTAGTGACTGGGCCTACATTCTACAAATAGATTGGGTTGGATTTATATCTCTTTTGAGTGGAAAACAAAATTGAATTTGCCTTTCCTCTGTGGAAAAGGGTCATTAAATGTAAGATTATATTCAGTTCAGTAAACAGCCTCAGTGTCAGTGAATTTTCAAATTCACACTGAAAAATACATACCCCTTCTGCTTCCTGAGACATATGAGGACTCATTTATATGGATTCATGTCCTCTGGCATTTATCAGGGGCATTTGGGAGTCCTTTTTATACCTCATAGCCACTAAACTGTTGCATGTCTCTTTAACTCAGACGTTACAAGAATTTCAAGGTGAAAGGATTTTTTTTAACTGACTTTGAATGAACTTTCTCCCCAGTGTCAGAGTTTGATCATCACAGTATTGTAATAGATCCGAAACAGTAGAGTAGGTATGGAGGAAAGCCATTATTTCCCAATCCTGGTTCTAAGAGTTGAGACACTCAATCTTCTTTCCCTTCATCTATACCTGCCCACATCTGCGTCACATTTGTATCTTTGTGTTTTCTCTTGTGAAGAAAGGACACTTAATCAGCTTTGTAGCTAATACAGGAATTGGCAATATTTCCAGTTTTGGCTGACCAGTTGAAGATTTACTCAGTGAATGGTCATTGAATTTTAACTGTTTTGACAATGGATTACAGAAATCGTAAGGTTTTAAATTTTCTAAGGATAATACTGAACCTACAAGTACTGAACCTACAGGGATGTGGTTGAACAGATGTTAGCGAGAAATCTTACATTCTGAGTTTTTATACTTAAAATGCCATCCTCAAAGTACAATGTTGAGTATATGAGTGGGCTTGTGTGTGTGTGTGAGAGAGAGAGAGAGGGAGAGGGAGGGTACTGGGGAGACCTGGTTTTCCAGCCATTCTTGTAGAAATGTTTTCCTGGAGAAGTGGAGGTTGGATTTTGAATTGTGAGTTCATTGTTGCTGTTCACAAAGCTAGTGCATTCTGTCTTAATCTGTGTTACTAGATGTTTAAAAGATTCTGCATGATGCATTGGCCAGTAAATATCTAAATAGAGGGTTGGGTTCAACTATAGATGCTTTATTGTAAGAGGTATTAATAAGTTGTTTGTGTCCACAGGTAGATGAGGATTATCAAGAGTCTGATTATATAAGGAACTGGGAAACAGCTCTTATAAATAAAAAGAAAGTATAGCTGGGAGTTACTGTTGAACTATAAAAAAGAGAAGAAATTAGATTTTGTATAGCTTCCAAGAGCAAAACTAGAAACAAAGCATAACTTTATAGATAACAAATGTACACTCTAATATAAGAATTTTCTAGTAAACATTGTCTTAGAAGAAGTAAAATCTCTTGTTGCTGGTAATGCCCAAGGGTTAAAATAATCACCTATCCCACATGCTATAAAAGGGATTTTCACACTGGATTTTGGCTGCATGATGACTTAAATTTCCTTTTAAATGGTCTCAGTAGAAATGAGGCTAATTCCAGTTGTCTTTTCCTTCCTAAATATTTTCATGCTGAAATACAATGGAGTCCACAGAAGCGCTCTGTCAGGCGATCCCAGAGCATGCTTGGTGAATTCAAGGCACAGAATGTCCAGTGGACCAGAGAGTTGTCAATATGAATGAAGGTCATCCCAGTCCCTTCCCCAAGCCCAGCACTGTGTCAGGATCTGTACCAACCTGCACAGCACCATGTGCATACTGTTTTCCATCCTATTCCTGCTCCTTCTCGTTGCCTTTATGCTTTCATCTGAACTGTTATTTTTTTTTTAACCAAGGTGGGGAAATCCCTTTACATGATCTTTATTCCTCAAGTAAATTATTTTTAATTTTTCAAAACCCTACTCCCTTGATTCCAGCTAATTCATTTTGGGTCTACTGTTTGTTTGTTTGTTTTGTTTTGTTTTTTTGGGTCCGGTCGTGGGGCCTGAACTCTGGGCCTGGGTGCTGTCCCTCAGCTCTTCAGCTCAAGGCTAGTGCTCTACTACTTGAGCCACAGTGCCACTTCCGGCTTTTTTCTTTTTGCTTATGTGGTGCTGAGGAATTGAACCCAGGGCCTCATGCATGCAAGGCAAGCACTCTACCACTGAGCCACCTTCCCAGCCGGGTCTACTGTTTTTTTTAGGCAAAATATTATAGGTAACATTGAGGAGACTATAATGTAATATATCTTTAGTGTTTTACTAATAACCTAATTTTTTAAAAACCTAAAAAAAAACCCACAGTTGGGCAAATTTCCTTTTTGGTATACAGATCCTACATTTGAGACTCTGGGATTTTTGTGGGGCTGGGGGAGAATTTATTCTTTGTTATCAATAACATGAAAATCTTAAAAGCAAATTTATTTTATCATTACATGGTATTGCTATTAAAGCATAAAGTAGATGTCACCTGATGTCAAGAGCTCTGCTTTCTCTTAAGTCCAGGACTTGCTTTTCAACCTTACAAAGAAAAACTGGGAGAAATGTACTCATTTTGATATGCAAAACTAGAAAATGTGAGGTATTTGGGACAGGAGTATTATTCCCCTCTGACCTTCTTTTGTAGACATAATACTGGTTGTTCCTTATCAAAAGTTTGCACTTTGTTCATATTAAATATTGTCTAGACAGTTTTATTGTGCAGTTTTCCCCCTATCTAGTTCTTCTCTACCCTCTACCTTCCTATGCTATTATCAGGGCTCATGATCTTTGAGACCCAGTTTTAAAGTTTAAAGTATTATTTGAAATGAGTCTAATTTCTATGCCAATCCAGTAGTCGAAAGCAGGAATTTATTTCCCTAGAAACTCATGTTCCTGAGAAGTACAATGCATAAAGACAAGGAAAATATTTTACTGTGTGTTTTCAGTACCTCTAACAAAGCCTGGAGTATAATAAGGTTCAGCCACCTTAAACTCTTACTGTAGAGTAAGCATACTTATGAAATAAAGGGACATTATTAGGTATTTCATAATTGTTTGTTAAATGAACACTGACCTGAGACTCAAACTACTTAACCTCTGTTTTCCACCAAATACTCATTTTTAAGCAAGCAAGCTGCTTTCATTTTCTGGAGAACTTAAATAATTTTTCTTCCCTTTTTTTCTTGCTTCCAGAATCAACTAATAGTAACTATCAGCACTTAAGCATTTAATGTGCTGCTGAATTTGAACTACAGTGTACCTTCCTCATATTGAAAAACATTTCTGCACAAAGCTACAGTAGCAAAGATGCTTTCCATAGGCAAATTACAGATTCCCTTTTATTGCTTCCAGTCCAACAGACATATGAGCCTGGGCCTTGCCCATTAGAAAGGCTAGTGGGAAGATCACCACTCTGGAGGGGGAAGCAGAGGTTCTAAAGTTGGAAGCCAGTGTGGCTACATAATGAGTTCAAGACCAGCTTGGGCTACATAAAACAATTGTCTCAAAAAACAACAATCTGGGCATCAGTGGCTCATACCTGTAATCATAGTTGAGGATCCCAGTTTAAAGCCATCTTAGGAAAACAAATCTTCAGAGACTCCTGCCTTTAGAGGTAACCAGCAAAAAGCCAGAAGTGGAGATGTGGCTCAAGTGGTAGAACACCAGCTTGCATGAAAATGCTATGTGAGATTGGCCCAAGTATCAGCACAAAAGAAAATGAAGAAAAAATGAGAATGGCCAGTGAGAGAATCCCCTGTATACAGTGCATAGTCAGTTTTAGTCCTCCCCAATGCTGAACACGACCAGTTTGACATGGCATTTATTATGTCATCAGAGTAAAAGATCTGAAATAGGAAGGCTTAGGCTTGCCAGATGTAATTAAGGTAATTTCAATGATGACTTACTATTTTATGATACGTGTAGAAGTAGAAATGTAGAAAATAAGCTGGATTTTTTTCTTAAAACTTCAGAATTGTTGGATTTGTATATGAGTACTGTCATCCAGCTTACTTTTACAAGTTCTCCCATTTGGACATACCAGTTTTATCTCTTCTAAGAATTTTTATATGTTAATACCAGAGATGATGATAAGAATGGAATTTGACAGGAAATTCAAACAAAACAAAAAAAGGAAATTGAAAAAATGTGTCATGTAGTAAATAAATCATCTCTAACACTTCACTACCAAGTCCTATCCAGACCATGGCAATTTTATAATTCATATAAAATTGGTCAAGTTATTCTCATCAAGTTTCTAAAGATGATTTCTAAACATTATAAATATCTGAAGTGCCAATTTCCATTTTAAAATTATGTCCATTGTAAATGAGACTAGCTAACTTTGGATATTGCGACTCATAATTTTGTATTTAAGGAATTAAAAGTGAAGATTTGCAAGGCAAATAAATGTAGAAAACAATGTGTGTCTTACTAATATTTTTCCATGTATTAACTAAAGCCAGAAAGTAGAGATTTTACATTTCTTCTAGTGTGCCTTAGTAAATCTGCTTAAGAAAGTCTAGTTCTTTGTTTTTAAAGCTAAACAAGAAAAATTATATTTCCTAAGTTTCAATTCCAAGCCAACATAAAGGAAGAAAGTTTCCAAAGTAATGTGTTTGGTAGTGCCTGGAAAGAGGCAAACAGGTCAACAATAACTGTTTTTATTGTTTTGTTTTGTTGGTTGTGGGGCTTGAAGTCTGGGCCTGGGTGCTGTCCCTCAGCTCTTCAACTCAAGGCGAGCACTCTACCACTTGAGCCACAGCACCAATTCTGGTTTTCTGGTGGTTTATTGGAGGTAAGAATTTCATAGACTTTTCTGCCTGGGCTGGATTACAGACGTAAGCCACCAGCTCCTGGCCCTGTGTTTGTTGTTGTTGTTGTTTTAAAAGCTATAGAAGAGCAGACTGAGAAAATATAGGCCTTGGAGCTGGTGGCTCATACCTACAATCCTAGCTACTTGAAGGTGATTTCTGTGGATCCAAGTTCAAAGCCATCTAGGAAAGACCAATTCTCAAGTCTTGTACCTCCAGCTAACCTGCAAAACGCCAGAACTGGAGGCATGGCTCAAGTAGTAGAAGGCTGTGAGTGGAAAAAGTCAAATGAGAACACAAGGCCCTGGATTCAAGCCCCAGTACAGGCCAAAAAAAAGAGGAAAATTTAGAATTTCAATATGAAAAATTATAAAGAGATGGAAAATACAACATTGGACACTA